TAAATGCCTGGCATTTCTGCCTTCATTTTGCATTTGTCTCCTTTACTTTGAATCAGACTCCTGCTTAACACATCACCTACATGTGTTAAGCATTCAGGTAGCGTCTGCTTAAAACTTATGGTACCGAAACTATCTCATACATTTTCAAGGCTGAAGGCACAAAGATAAGAGTACCTAAGGAATTTTCTTGTTAGCTTTTAGAAAGTCCTGTTTCTGACTCCGAAAAAAGTGACTGAAAATCTTGAGTCACTGGCCTGCATTTGCTGTTGCCTTAGATTCAGGACTAGCAGAGCCTCACGGAAATCACCCCATGATGTGATCACCCCCTAAGCAGAAACAAGCATCTTACGGAAATGATTGTCCCCTCAAGCAATAAGGACTCCTCTAGGGCCATCCTGAAGAACTAGAAATAATGATTCACTAGATCACTTATTGATCAAGACTGCTTAATTAGTAATACCTTTTGCTCCCTGTCACAATTCTTCCTTTATTCAAACCTAAAGCTTGTGTTAGTACCATAAAGATGGGCCAAAAGATTTAAGCTCCATCTTACTTAAGTGGCCACTTTGATTAAAATCCCTTCCTAGCTTTTCATAATTACTTTTGTTTGCTTTGGGGCAAGTGGTGGGATCTGACAAACCCCCAGAGTCAGGCCTGTTTCCTGAGACTCTAGTTCCAATTCCATTTATGCCTTTTGGCTTTTTGGCTAGTGTCCTTACATACATTAATTCTTCACATGGCACAAACCTCAAAATATAATTTTTATTATTCTACTTTTAACCAGTCAATTGGTTTTTAAGGAAATCAAAAAAATAAAATAATGTCTTGCATATTTTTCCAAATATTTATCTGTGACTACTGTTTTTCTTTCTCTTAATCCAAGTTTCCCTCTAGTATTATATTCTTTCTATGTAAGAAATTCACTATCTTTTTTAATATATGTCTGTACCAATAAATTCCTTCTGATTTTATTTTTCTTGAGCATTTTAAATTTTTTTCTTTCATTTTTGAAGAATATTTTCCTGGATATAGAATTCCTAATTTATATTTCTTTATTGATTCTTCTTTGTATTTTAAAGAAGTAATTACATTGTCTTTAAACCTTTACTGCTTCAAGATAATTTAAATGATATCCTTATTATTTTGTATTGTACTGTGTCTTTTCTCTCCTACATGTTTATAAGATATTTCTCCTTATGTTTGAGTTTCATCAGTTTCACCATGATGTGTTGTATGTGCTTTTCCTTATATTAAACTTACTAAGGTTCACAGCTATGTATTTCTAAATCAGATTTGGGCTGACCAGGGCTGGCAGCATGGCTCAAGTGGTTGAGCACCTGCCTAGCAAGTGCAAGACCCTGAATTCAAACTCTAGTACTATAAAAATAAATAAATGAATAAATACATAACTGAATAAACAAACTGGCCAGTATTTTGGTTGACGTTGCTTCTGTATCTTTCTTTTTCTCCTCTTAAGACATCAATTATATGCATATTGGACTATTTATATTGTCTCAGAGATCAGTAAAGCTGTCATTTTTTATATCTTTCTCTCTTATTCAGATTGGATAGCTCCTATTAACTTATCTTCAAGGATATTTACCTTTTCACCTACTCTTGTTACCAGAAAGTCACCCAAAAATGTCACCAAAAAATCAGCACAGCTATCTACCTCAGTTCTTGAATCCAGTGAGAATAATTCAGGCAAGACATGAAAATGTAGTGAAAGTGGTAGGAAAGCTTATTAGGAAAAGAAAGGAAAATACTTTCAATAGACTGCAAGCAGGCCATCTCTAGAGAGAATGAGAAAGACAATTATTTTTACCCTGGAGGAAGACTATATAAAGAGATTATTTATTACATTTATAATACTTTGCATAATTTAAAGATTTCAGTTTAGCACTACTTGAGTCATTGATTCAACTGTTTAATACCAAAATATTGTTATTTTTCTGTTACAACCTTTCTCAAGAATGATAGTAAATGATGATATGATAGTAACATTTAAGATCACTCAATGGTGGAAATTGCCATGTTATTATTATCCTGTGCCAGCATAGCTAATATACAAAAACTAAGCCTCAAACCAGTCCACAGTTAAGTTAAAAACATGTATTAAATTGAAAGTTTATTTTATTGCATTCAGTTAATTTTCAATAACTGAGTACAACTGAATATGTGTTGCAAACACTCTAAGTCAGTCATCAATAAACAAAAAAATGTAGCCATAAATATTAAAAAACAGAGTACACTTTTTTTTTCTTTATTCATTTATTCACATGTGCATACATTGTTTGGGTCATTTCTCCCCCTGCCCCCTGCCCCTCCCTCCAGAGTACACTTTTAAGCCAAATGTTTCGTAAGTCAAAAGAGGCTTTTGACTTTGCTTCTTCATTAAAATAACCCAAAGTAAACAAAAAAATTTAATAACACTTTAGTTTGTTTAACGACTTTCTTTTCTTCTCTTATAGTCAACCTTTCAGAAACATGTTTTTTGTTGTCTTTTCTCCTTTCTATCCTGAGTGGTTTAAAGGAAATTAACTCTCCTTCACTTTTAGAAAATCAGTATCTCCTGAAGACCAGAGAACCCTGACCGTGAGAGGAGATTTATGGGACACCACAGAAGTGAATCAGCTGGGGTGAAAACCTCCATTGAGGAACCCACAGGGCTCCCCAACCAACACTGTGACGTCAGCAGCTCACAAATCCATGTCTATGGTGCCTGATGTTAAACACTGGGCATTGTCTTAGAGGGGCTAACACTTTTTTCAGCCATAATGTGAATATTTGTCTTGTGAAAAGACCATTGTTTTTAGGTTTTTTTAAAAATTTTTATGCTGTGTATTTACTTTTAATTGAAAAAGTAGGGGAAATAAATGTTAAAAATAATTTTCAAATATAGTTGGTTCTTTTCCTCATTCAACTTCCCTATCCTATTTGCTACTCTCTCCAGAAGCAGCTTAGACTACTAACAATCTCTCCATTCTCACTCCTGAACAATTCTACTACTTGGAAACAAATTGTAGTAGGCTGTCTGTAATACACTAACGTAATTACAAAGCTGTGAAAAAAATCTCAGAAATGTATTAGCAGTTAATAATGTAATTTAAAATTAGAAGATGCAAACCACAACTTCCGAAATGTATTTTGGGACCAGGGATAGTGGTTCGTGGCTATAATCCCAGTTACTCTGGAGGCATCATGGCTCACACCTGTAATCCTAGCTACTCAGGAGGCAGAGATCAGGAGGAATGCAGTTCAAAACCAGCCCCAGGCAAATAGATTGTGAGACCCCATCTTGGAAAAAAAAAAAAAAAAACACATACAAAGGGCTAGCAGAGTGGCTCAAGCAGTAAAAGCATCTGCCTAGCAAGCCTGAGCCTCTGAGTTCAAGTCTTAGTACCACCAATAAATAAATAAAGTAGAAAGGGCTTGAGTATAGCTCAAGTGGTAGAGAACCTGTCTAGCAAGTGTGAGATTGTAATGTCAAACCCCAGTACAGAACAAAGGTGCTATTTTGCCTCTCATGTCACTTGATTGTAAAACTATACATAGTAAAGTACCTTCAGAAGTAAGAGGTACATCCCAACAGGTTCTAATATAATCCTTTTAAACTGAAAATGAAACCACATAATGGTTCTGAGCTTAAGACAAATAATTCTCACCACTGGCTTTCCCTGACTCCCTGTTTACTTCAAGAGGTGGAACTCTGTCTCAGGGATCTCTTTTCCTCTCTTGGGGAGGAAAAGGTGGAAGTTACTTAGGCACCATTGTTCTGTATCCAGACTAATACCTGATCCAACACATGGCATGACCTGGGGCAGAGCTGCTATAAAAAAGTAATTCTCCTTTAACCTCTCCATGTAAATCATCAGGAAGCTTCCTTCCACTGAGTTACACAAATTTGGTCTTTGACCTCTAGAGTCAGAATTGGCCTCAACAGCTCTTTCAGATGGTGATAGTATCGACTCTTTGATATCTGTCAACTATCATAAAACAAATAGCATTTCATGACAGATGTTCAAATAATGCTGGGTACGTCCAAACTCAGAGTAATGGTCTCTGTATTCCAAGCAAATCAGTAGCATGAAATACTGCAGATTAATGAAATAATCTCTTTGTTGTATCAAGATTTGGCACCTCTTGCAACTGTGATTTGTGATATTGTTCATCCAATTGCAACACCTGTCAGTGTTCTTTCTATGGTTGCTTCAAAAGGCTTTTAGTAAACACCAAATGCTTGAAAAGGTTCTCATGTGTATATGCAGGAATTTTCTGGATCAGTGATTTTTGATATTTAGCAACAAGGTAATCATAATAATTCATAAGCCAAACAGCTATTTAATGATGTATCTGCAGACATTCAAGTGTGACACTTTGAAATGCCCCAAAGAAATGAGTAATTCTATTTGTTCAGCTTTGTGGAAAAGAAAACCTTAACAATATATTGAACATCTTTAAATAAAACCTAAACTCTATAATTAAAGAAAGATTTCCAATAAAAATATTTTCCTAATTTCTATAAAATATCAAACTTTATTCAGGGAGTTTTCAAGAATTCTTATTCACACATATGCATGCATATACGCATATATGTATATATGTTTTATACATACATATAAATTTCTATCTCTAAATTGAAATTAATTTCAGCATTTCTTGGTTTGTAATGTTTGATAAACTATAATTACAGGAAGATATTATATTGAATATAGTATTCAAATGTTTTCATACTTAATAGTTCAAAATTATTTTTATTTAATTGAGACCAACTGGCCTCATTGCTTCTTATAAACTTTGCAATATATATTCAGAAAAAAGGAATAAAAATGAACAGATGTTTCTCCTTAAAGAAGGCAGACAAAAATTTTTCTTACACAATAAATCAGCTGCTAGTAGATTTCCAGGACATTGCTTCAGGCTATTTAGGTATAAAATTAAAAACACACACACATACACACACACACATACACACACACACACACACACAAAAGATCTACCTCTGTGTGGATCCAAAATTGGTAGAGTAGATTGAACTGCAGATGAACAGCATACACTGAAGGTGGTATGAAGAGGGCCAGGGGAGAGTAGAAAATCTTTAAGATAAAAAAATTTAATTAATTGACACATGATTTCTCAACATAAAGCATCATTAATGAAATTTCATCAGCAAATATACTTTATTCTATATATGTTAACATACTTGACTTTGTAACATTAATTTTTCACATGGTGACAAGGTTGCAGACTTGTTGGAGTTAAGTCCACTAAAATTTTAAATTTTAATATTGTCTGGTTAGAATATCATATGTTATAAATTATTTACTTAATTTTGAAAGAATTGATGTATTTCCTAGGAGTAAAGTGAGTTCTTGTATTCCTTACTGAAATAAAGTGTAGAAGCATGTGCATTTGTACCCTCACAACTCCCCAATTCTGCATTATGATCTGCCATTTTTAATAAGATGAGATTGTAACAAAAGAAAATAATTTCAAATAAAGGAATGGTAGAACATATCTTTCCATTTTAAATTTGTTTTAATATTGTTGATTAAAGGAACCATATCTCCTAATTTTTAAGTTATTAAAGTAAGTGAAACAATGTAGTGCCACAGTGGAAACAAATTATGAAGGTCCATATTTCCTAACAGACAGAAATGCCTCTGCTTTGCGAAAACAACTTTTGCTTAAACCACAGAACTGCTTAGAATCAACTCATGAGCACGATCTGCTGTGTTCTCTTAATGACTTTGATCCCCCAGAGTGGTTTCATGTTGAAAGGAAACATTTTATTAAATGAAAAGTCAAACAACCAAATAAGAATTAAAAGAATCTTACTTTCAGTTCACATTTCTGATTTTATAGAGTTCATACTTCTAAAAGTCTTGGTATTTTAGAAACATTTCTTCTCAATGTTATAATTTAATTATTAGTTTAAAACTTTGCATTCTCAGGCAAAAAATGTCATTTCCTAGATGTTTAGTAGTGACTATGCATTTGTAGTGACTTTTACATAAACTTTTCTTTCTGTTTCTAAACTGAAATCATGAAGAATATCAACTGGCATCATAAAACATGTTAGTTTTATTATTTATAAGTGGATTATTAAGCAATGCGTTAGATTAATGAGTGAGAAAAGAATATGATATTCTTATTCAAGAGATATTCTGGGATCCATTCCTGCAATCCCAGCTACTCCAGAGACATAGGAAGGGGGATCCAGCACTAAGCAAAATCATGAGACTCTATCTGAAAAATAATCTAAAAGCAAAAAAGGGCTGAAAGTGTGGCTCATGTGGTAGAGGGAGGCCCTGAGCTTAAACCCTGGCAATGCTAATTAATTAACTAAGCTTTTCAGTCATGCTTCCAGTACAGTCTCCTGTGTAATATTCACAAAGTTCTTAAACTGCTCCAGGACTCAAGATAATGTTGAAGAAAGCCATCTGAATCTGGTCACCTTTTTGATTTTGAAACGTCTATGACACTATGATTTAATTTTTGTGATGTAGTAGCACAATCAATCAAGGACAAATATTTACAACCCAGAAGTAGCCTAGGAGAGCAGGCTCAAATTAAGGGACATTTTGAAACCTCCTCTTGGAGATGTGAGGAAAAATGTAAAACAGCTTATTTTGGAAGCTTAATTAATAAGCACTGGAAAATAAATATTTATAGTTCAGTAGAATTTCCCAAAGTTTGTAGAAATAGTCCCTTGAGATAATAATAGCTATTATGGAAAAGGTGGTTCTGTGCTAAGAAGTGGGTTAAACAGGGAAGTTTCTAAAAGGACTTGTAACCCTTTTAATGTGAATTTAATATGAGTGAATGTCCATCAGCCCACAGGATACTTTTTTGTTGGATTTCCCATAGGCTTACATTTCCTAAAAACTCATTCTATGAAACAATTTCCTAATCTTACAAAGCAATAAATATAAGCATGATCTAACTATTAGAAAAATGAAACCATCATGAATTCCATGTCCTTTTTCCTTGTGGTGCTAGAATTAAACCCAAGGCCTTGAGGGAGTAAGGCAAACACTCTATCTCAGAGCTACATCCTTGGCCCTTGAATTTTTTGAGATAGGATCTTATGTAGCTTAGGCTGGCATCAAACTTGCCATCCTCCTGTCTCAGTTTTCTGAGTCCTGGGATTACAAGCATGTACTTCACCAAAAATTCTCATTTTTAAATAAGAAGTAGAGCTACAGGTCAGGGAATAATCCACATGAATCACGTGTGCTCATTCTTTGTGATTAACATAATGATACAAAAGGAGCCTTAGTAATTTTTATAATTTTAAAGCAGCTTAGTAAATGTGGTCCAGATATGAGAATTCTTAATTTTTTTTCCATTTGCAGCACTTGGAATCAAACCCTTGGCCTTGTGGATGCTAAGCAAATACTCTACCATTGCTGCACATCCACAGTCCACTTACCTTATTTTCTACTTCCAATGCTGCCATTTCCAAATCTTTTGTAGTCTTTAAAACCAACTTAATTGGCACATCTATCATAAATCCTTAAATGTACTAACACGGCTGAAGAAATTTCTCCTTTCTCATGCTCTGTAACTTTTAGTACTTTTCCCCAAATATTTCCACTTTTACCATGCATTCACGTCCACATCATTCTGACTCCAAGACTTGTTAGCCTTCAATTACACTGGAACTCTTACTAGAAATCTTAAAATAGTACCATAAAACTGAGAAATAACCTAAAGCTGTGCAAGGAAATAATAACCATAAGACACAGGTGGTCTTATCTTAGCAGATAGAAAGCAGATTTTATTGTTTTACAAGTGAGTGATGCAAGCAGGGGTTGAGTAAATTGGCATCGCAAAGCAAGAAAGGAGGCATCTGGAGGTGTTCCTCTAATAGAACTATTGGTGAGGGAGATTTTGTTTGTTTATTTTTATGTGATTTATTTTAAGTTTGAGAGACATGAATATACACATGTTGGAAGGAGCAAGATGAGATGAAAAGAGTTATGTTAGAGTACCTGGTTGGACAAGATCCAAGAAAGGAAATAAGACCAGATCAATGTCACCATCCTAAAGATTAGACTTGCTGAAGAGAAGTGAATATTTTCTCTAGAGGAGTATGTTCCAGAGGTAAGAAAGCACATTCACCTGTGAATTTATAAATCTTAATTAGAGACAAAAGAAGAAGTAGAGAGAGGCAAAACACAATTTTCTGTTAAGTTTTACTTTTTTTTTTTTGACAGTACTGGGGATTGAATTCAGGGCCTATGCACTTTCTAAGCAAGTGATCTACCACATAAGCGATAATACCAATCCCTTTTACTGTAGTTATGTTTCAAACAGGGTTTCCAGTTTTTACCCGGACCAGCCTGGACCTTGATTTTCCTATTTATGTTTTCCATGTAGCTGGAATGACAGCATACGCCAACACACCCAGCTTTTATTGGTTGAAATAGGATCTCATAAACTTTATCTTCCCAGACTGGCCTCCCTAGTATCTGGGATTACAGACTTGAGCCATTGAATCTGACTCTGTGAAGTTGCATATACACTCATGAGGCAGTAACAGAGAAGCTAAGTTGAAAAGACTGTGAAATTCTAAACTTCTCTAACACAGAGAGGGAAAAATAGAGAAGTCTCAAATTTGTAGTCTACCGAGCAGTGCTGAGGGCTCAGCTTTATCTGGAAAGCCCTACTTAGAGAAGAACCAAATTGCCCAGCCATGCTGAAGGATGTCCCAACATTCAGCATCCTGGAGATGGAGAAGGTGGAGTCATTTTTCAGGCGTTGGGGATTTCAAGTCAGACCTTACAGAGGTCATGGCTTCGGGTTTGCCAGAGTCATAGAAACCAACCACCTTAGGTTGCCTGATGTAGGAAATAAACCTGGGAAGAGATGACAAACTGGGAAGAAAAGCGGGACTTGGAAGAGGAGAGGTGTCAGCTGCTAAACTTCTGAACAAAATCGTTGAAGTGTGTAATCATTTTAAAATAAATGAAAAATTGTACTCTTTAGCTCCAAAATTTATTGTCTATTCTACTTAAGAGTTATAAATATCTTAATAAACTTCCTTAATGTCTTTATTTCTAGGAGTCTCAAGTTTTTAAAATAATATTTCTTAGACAAAAATAAAGATTTTAGTTTTCCCTCAGAATTGAGGTACTAAAGTTTGAAGAATAAAAGAGTATGCTTCATATTCCTTAAGTCTATGATTGGTAATGAAAAAAAGGAGAAAAAAACCCAACTTCTATTTACAGACAGAGAATATGGATATCCACACTTGAAACATATTTAAACTTCATGTTTGAATGAATACTTATTTTTCTAAGAAAATCAATATCTTAAGTAAACTGGACCTATTTTTGTAGTCCCATCCCTATCTCTTACTCTTTACTTACTGCATACTAGCAGACATGACATACTATTATGAGTAGAATTACATTCTCCCAAAAGCATATGAAAGGCTTTAGCATCTAGTACATCAGGATGTGACCTTACTTGGAAAAAGTGTCTTTACAGAGGTCATCAAGTTAAAATGAGTTAAGTAGACTGGGCACTACTACAATGTAACTTGTGTCCTTATGAAAAATGGCAATGTAAAGACCAACATGCACATGGGAGAATACAAGTGAAGATAATTGAAAATACAGTGATATAGCTACAAGACAAAGAATGTCAAATATTCCCTACAAACCACCAGAATCTAGGTGAGAAGATGAAACCAATTCTCTTTTCTTGCCCTTAGAAGGATCTAGCCCTGCTGACAGCTTGATTTCAGACCTGAGTCCTCCAGAACTGTTAAGACAATACGTTTTGCTCTGAACCACCCAGTTTTCTACTTTGTTCCAGGAGTCTTCAGGAAATACATACACACACACACACCACACATTCTACTTGCCATTCCTTAAACTCACCACATTTTTCCGTACTTTTGTGTTCTTACAGATATTGTCTTTCTTCATAACACTCCATTTACAACCTTGTCCTCTGCAAAATGTTATTCTTCTTACAGATTTGGCTCAAGCATGAGTCCTCTGTGAATTTCCCTGTGACTCACAGCAGTTCTCAGCAGCCTAATCACTTCTAACAATGGCTGCCTACTTGTCTGACTCCCTAC